ACTTTTGCCCAGACTTGTTCCGCTCCAAGATGTTCGGCTGTTCCAATGCATTGTGGTTGCAACGATTTTTCTACTGCAATTAGTACACCATCCCAGCCTTTCTTCTTGACTCGCTGATATTTTTCAGTGTCCGCAGATCTGTCACAGCGAAACACTTCGAAATTTTGTGGAAAAAATTCAGAAGAGGCGACATCAGGACTGAGGTGTGATTCGCTCAACATGTAAAAAAGGAAAGACGACGCAAGCACTTCAGCAAGAAAGTTTATCGCTTTTTCTTTATCTTTGATGCCATTCATATTATTGCAATACATTGCAGCGTCATCCAACATTGGAACTACATTATTGAATAGATGTTGTTGATGTGGCTGCTGAATGTGAAATGATGTGGCAAAAAGTGGATTTAAACAGAATGATGAGGTGGAGAAGGCTGGGTTTAACTGTGATAAAATGGCTGAGGTTGTGCATACATTGGCATTTGTGGTGGTAGAAGTTGTGGCATTTGCATTGGAATTTGTGATGGATGATGATGCATTTGTTGCAAACCTGGTATCACATACGGCGGATGGAAAAATGGTTGCTGCAGAAAAGGAGCAGATTGCTGCCACTGACTTAGCCGTTGGCTAAATTTTCCGCCCGATCGAATGAGATTGTTCTAGACTTTCCCAGATTTTCCGTTTTCCTTCAAACTCGAGTTTCTCGAATAATTTTTTTTTCAATTTTCCGAATTTTTCAAAAATTTTACTGAATTTTTTTTTCATCATGTATGAAATATACGTTCAATTTGTGAAAATGGTTGGAAAATATTGGAAAACTCGGAAAATATTCAACATTTAGTAATAATTATAAAATGTACTGAAATCATGATTTTTTTTTCATGTGACCACCGGTAAAAATTTTAAAATCAAATCTGACAAAAAAATAGCTATCCATCCCCTATTTCTAAAAGTATGTGTCGGCGATCATTTTCAGAACGCGAGATATTGCGAATAAGCCTTGGTAGTCTCCTACCTAATATAAAGAGATCTGGTCAGTTTACATATAACGACGATAAACGTAAACCTGGTATGGTGACTTTTCTGAACTGCTCTTTAATGTTTCACTACTTCTACACCTGAAATTATGACAAATTTGTATACAGCGGCTGATGAGATGTCAAAGTAAAGCGACTACAGTGCCCCAATTTCAAACAGCAAGCCAATATAAAATACAATTTCAAATCGAAACTTAACAGCGCGTCAAGTTTGAAAACTGGTGCTATTTTCTCCGCAAGCAAATTCGATTATTTCTCCAATACAAACTCACCATCTTTTCGTTTTGATTTATTACTTATGTTTATTCCAATTTAAATTGAGTTTATAAAATCTGATCATGTTTGGCATTTTTTTGTTGCATTGTTCTACTTATTACGAAATGAATGATATCTAATGAAAAAAAAAACTTTCAAAGTAATTAGCTTTGTCCACTAAAGACGCGTGTTGTGTGCCACAGATTCCAGATAGGCCAGGTATTTTTCATCTTGTATGTCGGCATCGAATTTCTTGATCATTTTAAACAAGCGTTCATCCTCTCGAATGTATTTCGGTTTGCGGGCCGATGGATCAGCTCCGGCGTCGATTTGGGCCATTGTGACTTCATGGGTGGCTTGCTCAGATTTCAGGCAGTCAATGAACTTGAAGATGGATGGATGTACACCGAATGTTTGAGCCATTTTGTTGTGAGCACCTTCACAGTGATTGTTTGTGCGCGGGCGGTCTATTCAAAAACGAAAAAAATAACAATGAAAAAAATTAAATCATCGAGGTAATAGAGTGGTGAACGCCGATGTAATTAAAATAATAAAGAAATCAAAACATTGAAAAAAAGAAACCAAATACTACCCAGCAAAACGTTATCATATACGTTCCAAATGGCTGGCGCAAACAATGGCGGCTTTCGTTTTCCAAAACGATCGGTTGCAAACATGTAAGTGTTTTGAAAACACATCACCAGTTCGTCAATCGCATTTTTCTGGGCCGCATACTCCTCCATTCCATCCTCACAGAAGAATGGTGTGGTCATCAGCTCGTCGTATGCAGCCTCCACTTGATCGACTGGAACAAACGCAAGTGCTGTCAGCATCCGAATTTGAACAGCGAAGTCACCATCATTGTTATAGATCGATTGAAGACCCACGAGCTGCACGTGCTTCCAAATGTTTGATGTAAAGTGATAGAAACATCCATGTACTTCTGACAAGGGGAAGCACTTCTTCACTGCATTGATTGCAGCCGCTTCAAAATCAACCGTAACGTCAGTTGAGTTGAGATTTGGCTCTTTTCCCAACAACACATTCAACACCAATTCGTAGGTATCTTGCCACTTGTTTGTGGTCACAACGTAGACGAGCGGAATGTGAAATCCATTGATTCGACCTTTAAATGGAACACATTTTTACAAACAATGTTCGATTGAAAATCTTATAAATTCTCTCACCATGTATCATATACACCTGCTTGAACAACGGCGGTGTAATCGAGAATGTGCCGTCCATAAACCATTGTTCGCATTTGCGAAGAAAATGGATGTTTTCTTCAGTCGCAAAAATCAGTGTACGGTCGTGTTCGCCTTCTTCTGTTTCGGAATCAAACAGCAGAAATTCTTTCCCGTCTTTGGTTTGGCGCAATTCACCGTCCAAGACGAGCTCCGCCAATGTTTCTGGACTTCGCCGAAAGCCTGGTTTGCGTTCACGATACACCGTTTTAACCATGGACTTAGCGCTTGGCAGAGCGGCCAACGTCGATTTCTTCTGACTTTGTACACTTTCTGCAACAATTGCGGTTGCAGTGCGATCGGTTGTCTTCGCCAGTTCCTTGATTTTGGTGTGCACTTGTTGCTTTCCGATGTTTCGTGCGTCGCCAGGATGGGAATGTGAATGTTTCAATTCGAATTTCGCAGGGTCGTCTTCTCCAACCAGTTTGTGCAAACGGCACTTACACCCATTTTTGCGCGCACTGTGTGTATTACACATAATCACAATATGTCGTTTTTCAAATTTAAAACAAATCAATTAAAAATGCTTACCAATCGCAGGTGTAATATTCAACACCTTTGTACTTCTTATCGTACCGATATTTGAATCCATCGTGATAAATCACACGATGAACGCCTTTGATGCTGTTGAACACTTCCGATATAGTGGAATTGGATACCAATCTGGTCGGCTCTCGAGCTTAGACTGACTGTCACTCGCATTTTCACCGTGTTCACCGGCTTCTTTGAAAATCATCTTCATTCGCATCAATAATTCGAAATTTTCAAATCTGTCACTTCATACCGGTATAAATGCTAAGAAATCGAAATATAGATCATTCCACTTTTGCATATAACTTTTCAATCCAAATGCATTGTGAACACGAATGCAAACAAATGCTCGTGCGACTTTAATTTTCGCTGACTTGTTCATTTTTGGAAATGTTCTTTCAGCATTCACTGTGGAGAATTTGAGGCCGAATTGATAAAACCTTCCTTTCATTATGAAAGTATATCTATTCATTGAATAAGTCATTCTTTATATTTCATTGTTTCACACTTAAAAGGAGGTTGCTCCAAGGAACAACACAAAGCATGTGAACTCGCGTAGGAAAAATCAAAAGAATAAAAAAAAAATTGTTGAAAATCATTCCTGTTGTGTGTACACTTTCGTTGAAACGTGTATAAGCCATAAGACCGTAGAACAATCAAATAGATTGCGAATTTCAGTTGCAACCAGTATGGAAAGAGAGAAGAAGCGTTGAATTGTCAACGAAAAAATGACAATTCTCGGCTATCGTGTGCTTGAAATATTTTTCAATGAGTGCAGGTCATTTTTACAATTTACAGCGCTCCGAATTCTGTTGAAAAATCGATTCGTTTGAACGCCAACATCGGTAACATGGGAATCAATAGCATGCCTCCAATGTTTGCTTACAGGATGAAAGAAGGAAAACAAAAACAAAACAATCAGAATTTGAACAGCTCAGCTGTTGTTACCGGAGCGAAAGAAATACGAACACAGAAAATGACCTAAATCCAATTTACTGCGAATGCAAAATCATAACAAATATGTTTAAAACACACAGCCTTTGTGTGTATTGTACATTCAAACTGCGATCGAATTTCACAATAAAAAGTGAGCATAGTGAATGATTAAATACAAAACCTCCTTTAAAATTTACAAATCGCCAATAAAAATGACAAAACGGCAATAAAATTGACAAAATACCGGTCAATAATTTCGGAAACCATCAACAACAGCCGCTGCAACATTTACCTATTAATGTGCCGTCTCCTTTTTGGTACCAAATGCCATATTTCTACCCTCCACCTCAGCAACAGGTTCATTCTCAGCCAACTATGCCACTATTCCATCCGCACTATTCACACACACCACATCAAACCTTCAAACCGTTCAACTTTCAAAATCAAAATCACTATGGAATGTAAGTCAAACAATGCTTGATGACGTTTTGATATACTGCAATAATTTGAACGGCGTGAAAAGTATAGACAAATCAGTTGATTTTTTATCAGAAGTTTTAGCAGCAATTTTTAAAATTTACATGTTAAGCGAAACGCACCTCAACGCAGATGTTTCTTCATCAGAGATATTTCCACCGAACTTCGAAGTATTCAGATGCGATAGATCACCTGCCACTGAACAGTTTCAGCGTGTCAAGAAAAAGGGTTGGGGTGGCGTTATTATCGCAATTGACAAAGCATTCAATCCGCAATGTATCGGAACAGC